GCTTATGTTCCCTCTCTCGCTGTGTCTCTCTCTATCAAATAAAATCTTTAAAAAAATAAAATTAAAAAAAATAAAATAGCAGTGAGAAATTATTGCTTTGGCAGTTTGGCAAGAAGTATCAAGAGCTTCAAAAACCAGTCACATCCTTTGGGTCTGCCATCCATTTGTGGCAGTGATCCTAAGGAGAAGACCCTAAATTCAAAAAAACTTGATGCAGGGAGACAGTCATCATGGTCTCACTCAGAACCACAGAGGATGGGAAGGACCTGAGTCGCAGCAGCAAAGCAGGAGGGTAAACACCTACTCACAGAGCAGCATGCCACCCTTTAAGATGTTCATGAAGAGTTTGTATGAACTTGGAGAGACCTGTCACACAGTAAATAGGGAGCAAAGATCCCAAATTGTGGTTTTTCAAAATACTTCTTTGACTTTCCTGTGTTTTCCAGTTTTTCTCTAATCAGTCTGTGTTACTCTGTAATTTTAGAAGTATAAAACATTTATATGCTGTCGTGGCATTTAAAATAACGACTCTGTGTTTCTGCAGATCCATTTGCTACAATTCCATGGAACCAAATACGCGGCCATTGACCCGTCGATGGTCAGCGCTGAGGAACTGGAGGTGCAGAAAGGCAGCCTCAGCATCAGTCAGGAGGAGCAGTAGCTGAGGCGTTGCCTGTTGATAACGAGCGGGCCAGAGAGTTCTTGTCCAGTCAGCAGCGTGAGCGCCCGCCCGGCGGCCCCTCTGCTCCGTTGTCGGGTTCACCGGTTATCACTGTGTTTGGAAGTAGGACTGATTGTCATCTCTGTGACAGGCGGCAGCTCTTCTGAACCAGTGTAACTGTTCCCCCTTCGGTTTTTTTTTAGCTTTCGAATTTGAGGAAGTACTTTTGAAGACTCCCATTTTAAGAATTGTGAAAATTTTGCTACCTGTGTGTGTGTGCTTCGTTTTAAAAATTACTTTTTGTAAACTTGTTTGTATGTGTGCAAACATAAGTTTATGTGGGCATTAAAAGATGTCTAGAATTATATACTCCAAACTGCTAACAGTGGCTCCCCCAGGGAAGGATCTGGACTTTTTCTTACACTCTTGAAAAGTTTTTTTTGGATTTTTTTTTTCACTGAGCATATACCATTTACGTAACTGTTTTTAAGTAATAATAAAATGTAAAAAAATAAATAAATAAAAGTTCTTTTGGGATTTCAGTGATTTTTTTTGAAATTAATTGGCATTCATTATTAATATTCTTTTAATTTAGTTAGCTATGTTTGAGGAGAAAAAATTCATGATAGACTTTGTCCCCTAGTGAATGCAAGAGACATTTGACAACAAAATCCGTAGCTTATGTTGGAGTTAGAAGTCACCAGGATGAGCAGGAGATGGCCCAGGCCGGCCAGGGGCTCAGCGGTGTCTCTTCACAAGCAAGAAATGCTTTGGGAGGCCCTTTCCACAATGTGCAAAGAACAGATTAAAATACCGGTAGGCTTCAGCTTTGTGTTTTTTTTAAAGGTATTTGACCAGAGTGCACTTTCAACTGAAGCTAAAGAAGAAATGTACAAACTGTATCCTAATGCCCGGAGGGCTCACCTTAAAACAGGAGGCAATTTCCCATACCTGTGCAGAAGTGCAGAGGTGAATCTTTATGTACAGGTAAGTCCCAGCTTGGAAGCCAGAGCACTTTGAACCCGAAGTGTACGGTTTGAAACATAAAGCTGCTTTTTTTTTTTTTTTTGGTGGTGGAATAAGAGACCTACAGAATTCTCTGTAGGAATGAGGCCTTCACTTGAAAAAGATGGTTTACGTTAATAATTTATAGCAGAATTCAAGTGGGTATATTAGAGACAGTCAAGTGACTCTGTGCCTACCATCTCTTTTCTAAGAACAGCAGGCCCGCACCCGAACGTACTGAAGTAGCCACGTCCTGTGATGTGACCTTGCCTCCTGGATACAGTGAATTCAGTCAGAGCAGGACACCTTCATGAAGCAACTTCCTGATCCATTTTTAATGCATTAAAAAACACATGCAGGGGCAGGCACCTGGCTGGCTCGGTCAGAAGAGCATGCAACTCCCGATCTTGGGGTTGTGAGTTCGAGCCCATGTCGGGTATAGAGATTACTTAAATAAATAAAACTTAAAAAAAAAAAAAGGCACACACACACGCAAAAACTAACAAAAACTGCCACTTCATCCTCTACCCAAATGGATATTAAAATAGCAGTGAGAGGGGCA